CCATTAAAAAACTTGGATGAAAGGTCAATTAGAATTTTAGATGAAGGGATTTACCGCTTTGGGTGCGGCAAGTCTTAAGTTTTGGGCCAAAACATCCGGTACGAAACTAATTCAATGAAGTTGGTACGAAACTAACTATGTGAGATTGAAGCAGCTGCATAGACATGTGCTAAGAATGTGAAACCGACACCCTCTGACAAAGGTGTTGAAAAAGCCAGAAAGTATTGAAGGGCAACGGTCTTCTGGCAGTGCCGTTTGATAAGGGGGTGGTTTTTTGTGTAATGAAAAAGGAGACATATGAGAAAAAACTGAAAGATTTATTACAGGCAGAACATTTTAGTGAGAGGAAGAATCTGACAGACAGCGTGATTATGAAAAATGAAAAAGACATAAACAAAGAATTACTCGCCATGAAAGAGAAGGACGAGATGAACGAAGCGCTGTATACTAGGTTGAGATCAACGGGAGCGCAGCCGGCTAGGATGTATGGATTAGCAAAAGTACACAAACAAGACACACCACTTCGTCCCGTCCTTTCTTCACCTGGTAGCTCATTTGACAACCTAAGTAAAACATTGGCAAAGTTCTTTGATGAAATTGAGGGGGCAAACATAGAAACGAACACTCAAATGGCCAGGGAGATCTTGGCGAAAACTGAGTTGGACTCTGACGAGAGTATAATTTCCCCTGATGTAAAGAGTTTGTCCACTAATGTCCCGCTCAAGGAAGCGGTTGAAATAGCCCTGAGGTGATTCAATGAGCAAATCAACCCTCCGGAAACATCTCGCACGACTATGAAAAAACTACTGAATTTGGCAGTGAGTAATGTACACTTTAAATGCAATGGTTTGTGGTATGAACAAAAAGACGGTTTAGCAATGGGCGCCTCCCTTGCAGTAATATTGGCCAATTTGTGGCCCAAAGAGTACGAACCTGCATTAAAGAACGAAGTACCAAAATTGACTGTGCTAAATGAGGGTAACAAGGACGTGTGCCCTAGATGTCAAAAAAAGTTGACACATCGGGCAGAAGGGGTAGAATGCGAAGCTTTTTTGAATTGGTACCACTTAGGGTGTGGTAACATATCTGAATTCAAATACGCAGAAATCGCTGAAACAGTATGGTATTGCATGACTTGCAAAAAACAACAGGAAACAGATCGGACTGTGATTGGTGTTAAAGTTTTTCTAAGATAAGTGGACGACATAGTTAGAAGGGTCAAGGGCGATCCTGGGATAGTTCTCGAGGCTGCCAATAAGTTGCATCCAAACTTGCAGTTCACCATAGAAGAACTTGATAGTGAAGGTAATTTGTCCTTTTTGGAATTAAATGTCAACGTGGATTCAGGAAAAAAAGTCACATGTGGTTTGTACCAAAAACACACTGATACCGGCACCATTCTAATTTTCATCAACATGGAAAGACTTTGGTCGGTCATTGAAAAAAAATCTGAAACAATGGATTGACAATCAATATTCAAAAACTGGTCGGACAGGGTAGTGTTTGAAGCTTTTAACAAGATCATTGAGGGGAAAAAATTTTGAGTTGACGGCATCAGAACCGAGAAATGATAAATGGTTGAAAGACTCAGCCCCCTTCTTACAATGCAATATCGAGGCAATCCATCTCAACTGTTAGCTGCAAAGGTTCGGCAAATATCCAAGGCACAAATAATTTTACAACAAGAAAATTGAAAACTTGCTTGCCATCCCTCAAAACATCCTTTGCTCGTGAACTGAGGTCCAAAGTGGTGTACAAGCTTACATGTAGGGGATGTAACTCCACCTATGTCGGCCCTTTAGCCACGATATTTAGCCACGAGGGTCGATGATCAACGCAACACAGCAAAGGGGACTCCCCAGTAGGGCTTCACTTGTTAGAATGTAATAAGAAGGTAGGCGGTACTGCTGAGCTGAAGTCAGAGATTATAGACCAAACAGCCAACACTCATAAGCTACTGACACTAGAGGCTTTGCATATTTGGAGGGAGAGGTCGAAGATCAACACACGCGATGAAATCAGGAGCCGGGTAATAACACTAAAATTATAGTCTATGTATAACATGGCTAAAATTCAAAAAAAACTGAAATGTCAGAATCAAAAATGTTCCCAAATCGAAATTTTTTAATCATGAAAGAATTAAAAAAAACTAAAAAATCTCAGAAATTTATAGGAAAATCTAATTCATGATTACGTAATTATATTATGTAATTACAGTTATTTGAAGTGATTGGTTAAAAAGTTTCAGAGCCTTTTTAGACATGTTTCTCATTTTTCAGATCTTTGATCGTTTTGTAAACATTGTAGAAAAATTTAATCCTGATGATCCACAAAATGTGCAAAAAAAGTTTGAATTAACACTTTAACTTTTTTATAAATGCAAAGAATACTCCCTAGTAGGGCAACACTTGTCAGAATGTAATAAAAAGGTCGGCGGTACTGCTGAGCTGAAGTCAGAGATAATAGAACTAACAGCCAACACTCAGAAGCTACTCACACTAGAGGCTTTGCATATTTGGAGGGAGAGGCCGAGAATCAACACACGCGATGAATTCAGGAGCCGGGATTCAACACAAACTATAGTCCATGAATAACATGGCTAAATTTCGAACAACTGACATGTCAGAAACGAATACTTTCAAATTCAATTTTTATAACAATGATAGAACAAAAAACTAAAAAATCTCAAAATTTTTACCGGATAATGTTATCAATGATTACGTATTTTTTATGTAATTACAATTGTTTAAAATTTGTTGCTCGAAAAATTTTAGAGCATTATTAGACATGTTTCTCATTTTTTCAGGTCTTTGATCGTTTTGTAAATATTGTTAAAAAATTTCAATCCTGATGATCCACAAATAAGCGAAAAACGTTTGAATTAACATTTTAAAATTTTTTTTAATGTTGAGTGAGCTATTTCCAAGACTATATTCGGAATTTTCTGTGCTATTCAGTAAAAACAAGTTAAATGTTAAAACGTTTTCGTCTGAATTGACATCATCATTAATCTGAAAAACATCATCAGTAATCAAAATTTTAATCCTGATGATGTACAAAATGTGCCAAAAAGGTTTGAATTAACATTTTAAATTTCTTATAACTGCAAAGAGTACTCCCTAGAAGGGCAACACTTGTTAGAATAAAATAAAGAGGTAGGCGGTACTGCTGAGCTGGCAGTTGATTTGTTTTTCTTCCGTATTTTTTGGCAGTTGACACTAAAAAACAACAAATATCGGATAACGATTTAAATTGCGGAAGAAAACAATGTAAAATATAGCACCAGTTAAAATTCAAAGCATCAATTAAAATAGAAGGTGAAATAAAATAGAAGAAATGGAAATTAGTTCAAGTTAGCATAAAATGCTAAAACAATGAACATTACAATTGCAGTTTCAACTGCCGTTGCGGGTATTCCTCTCGCGTGTTCAGTGCCGGCTTCAATTTTGCGATATGTAGAGCTTCCAGGGTTAAAAGTTTGTTTTCATCAAAACTGCGATCAATAACCTTCACGTTCATACCCATGTTTGCCCCGTATTCTCTCAGATGAGCTCCAACATGTGCCGACGCACTCATGTGTTCTTGAAGTCGAGTTTGGAGATGTCTGTTCGTTTGACCCACATAGCAGGATTGGCACTCGGAACAAATTAGTTTATAAACAACTCGACTGCATCTGCTCTCAGGAATAGGGTTTTTTAATGATGGCAGACATGTTTTCAGTTTCTGTGTTGTAGAGACTGTTGATATCCCTTCAATAATAGCGCGTAACTTCTTAGCCAAACTATCTGACGAGCGCCCTCTGTATTGCAATATCACCATGTTACGTCTTCCGTTCACAGACTCTTTGGTGTTGTAGGTCTGGGAGTTTTCGGGTGTTTCCAGTTGGCAAATTTTGGTAATGGTATCGCGAACAACAGGACTATAGAAAGCAGGTGGGTGTTGATTTGCTTCGCAGTCTCTAACTGCCTTCGAAATCTTCGTGGGAGTAGTACCGGCAACGGCAGTTGACACTGCAGTTGTAATGTTCATTGTTTTAGCATTATACGCTAACTTTGTCAACAATTCAACTACAACTGAAGATGAGGCACGACTTGACATTAAGGCAAACGGACTCTGGGGTTCACGATTCAGCCGCGCTTTCTTTGATGTGAAAATTTTCAACCCCCATGCCAAAACATCGCGAAAACTGCACAAGGATGCATACAAATACCACGAAACGCTGAAGAACTCCAAATATCAGCAAAGAATTTTAAACGTAGAGCAGAGTAGCTTCTGCCCGCTAATTTTTGGATGCACCGGTGGCGCTGCTCCAACAGCCACGCGGACGACGCAGCGATTAGCCGAAAAACTAAGTGAAAAAAGACAAGAAAGCTATCCAGAATCTATAAACTACATAGGAACCAAAATAAGCTTCGCGCTCTTGAGGAGCTCTATACTTTGTATAAGGGGTTGCAGATCGCTACGCAAAGTTCAATTTATCGACAACTCCATAAGCGCTATTGTAGAGGAAGGACGGCTAAGATAAATTAACATTACGACGATGCATTTAATGCTGATTTATGACTTCATTGCTGATATATATGCATTTTGATATCGCTGGTATGGCCCTATCCAGCTTGTGCACTTACCGTAACTAAACGGAAGGGCCCCTTTTGTAATTTAGTTTTTTTATTATTATACGCTAACTTGAACTATTTTTCTTATCTTCTGTTTTATTTGATGCTTTGAATTTTAATCTGTGCTATTTGCACAACAATCGGCTGTACTTGTTTATTGATTTCTTTTGTGATATTGACAATTCAAATTACTGTTTTAATGATAAGCTCATAACTCAATATATCTGTTTTTTTTTGTTCTCAGGCCTTTTCTGCTTTTAGACCATTCTGCCCATTGACCGGCCACCATCGTAATCGTTGCGAAGCTCTGCTTTGCTGCTGTCTACATTGAAGCGTTCAGGCTGATGCACCGGCAAAACGATTGTTTTTCACTTTTTCAGTTTCATTTAGTATGAGTGTTCCTCAAGAAAATCCAGCTGAGTTTGTATAAAGTGGTATGAATAATTTTCAGACAGTTTCTTGAAAATCAGAGCCCAGAATGAGTGGCCAAAGTGTTATGGACCGCATGCAAGCGGCTCGACATTCCGTTTTGGGATCGCAGATTGGCAAAAAAGTATGCAAAGCCACGACAGAAGAAATTCTTGCCCCTAAAAGGAAACACTTGGAAGATTTGTTGCAGTATACCCACGATCCAAATGTTAACGTTACCGACATAATTGATCTTTTGCTGTCACGAACTCACAATCAAAACTGGGTAGTCGTGTACAAATCGCTCGTTACTTTGCATCATTTGATGTGCTATGGCCACGAAGTAAGATTAAAAATATTTTTATGCCCTACGTGCAACTGATTTAACTCTAAAATTCATTTAGAAAGTGATCCAGAACATGGCCAGTAGAACTATGGAATTAAATTTGGCGAACTATTACGATCGCAAGGACATGCAAGGTTTGCCGTTTTTCGTATAACTCATAAAAATGTTTCTCCAATACAAACTACGAAGAAGTTAATTTAGGGGCTCAAATGTCGCCATTCATTCAGAGGTACTCTAAATATTTGAGTGCTAAAGCGGGATCATACAGGGCAATGGCCTTTGACTTCTGCAATGCTAAGAGAGGGTGAGTTTGTATTATTCGTGAAGATAGCTATCAAAAATTAGCATAGGAAAATATTAACTGTTCCTTTATAGTAAAGAAGAGGGAAAGCTGCGTAATATGGAAGCACATGAATTGCTCATGGCTCTGCCAACACTTTCTGATCACTTGGACGCTCTATTAGAATTCCAGGTTTGCATCATGTACCTCTGAATCGCTGTTTTGAACAGTTTTTTACACTTCTAGGTTTGTGTTTGTTGCATGATAATTTTTTAGCGAGCAAGAAAGGAAGCTCAGGACTTATGTTGGGTATAAGTCCACAAATTAAATGCAACTTATGTCCTAATTAGCACATCCACTTGAACACTATGTATTCAAAAAGCATGACTGAATTCATTCAATTTTACTGTCAATTGGATATTTTTCCGACTGCGAGCTTAGCAGTTGATTCTGTTAAATTTATAAGCTGTTCAACGCGTATTTTTCTGATTATTGATTATGAATAGAGTTGAGGTCAGAATGTTTCGACTATTTTGAGTTAAGTTTAAAAAGTAAAGACAATTTCTGTTGTTCAACTTTTGTTGTTGTTCAAAGTTACTACTAAAAGGACTTCAAAATGATACCACGATCGTTTTTCGAGGTAGTCAAGTTTCATCCGAAAAAAAAACACTAATTACAAAAATCATCCATTTTATTTTCATGCGCTTCCAGTGTTAAATTAGCTGGACGAGCAAAAATCTTTTCACCAAAATTTATCGATACAGAACTAAATTGGTTGAAACTTTATCGCCGTATCCAAATCGCAACTAAAAGGGCTTCAAAATAATTATGCTCTCGACTTTTCATAAGCTTCACGTGGGGGTAAGAAAAATAACGTTAAAAACTCCATCATAGTTCCTGGCCACGTGAAGTGTTCCAAGCAACAAAAATGCATTCCTGTTTATGCTAAAAATCTTCAGTTGTAATATAATTGTTGTCATTTTGCCACTTATTTTGCAATATCATTAATATTAATTCCAGAGCTTAGAATTCGAGTGACAGCGAATTGTTTTTACCAGGCAAGACCCTCTGACTTGACAAATGGGATTGTAGTGGCCAGTTTTATGCTCCTCTTCAAGGACTCTATCCGACTGTTTGCAAGTTACAATGAGGGCATCATCAACCTTCTCGAGAAGTTTTTTGACATGTCGAGTAAGAAGCAATGCGAACAGGCTCTCAACTCGTACAAGAAGTTCTTGCAGCAAATGGAAAATGTGGGAAAGTTTCTGAAAGTTGCAGAGGTGATTTTTTTTATACTTGAGTTCACGGAGAAAATTAGGGATCCAAGTATCGCATATTGAGCTAAGTTAGAATTTTTTGCCTTAGAGTAGTGGAAGTTTGAAAAGGTTACTTTCAGATGAATTTTAAAATAATAATAATTTTGCTTATTAGTTTTAGCGTTGATATTGGGCTATATAGATATACTAGGATTGGGATTGAAAACTAATTATTTGTAGGTCCTTTCAGAAGCTCCTACCGACAAAAAGTGTATGTACATTTCGTTCGACATCTTTGCTTTATCTCTTAATTTGTCGCTAAGTTTATCTCAACTACATGGGTGTTTCAACTAAACACTGAGTCCTCTCGAGAAGTGTTGGCATCTGGAATTCTGATCATTTTTGTGTCATTGCATTCATGGATGCGGAGCCATACTAAAAAGGGTCTATGATTGAACTAATAAATAATTAATGAACTATATAGTTAGCAGCAGAATAGCTACAAATTATATTACAATAAAAATTTCAAAACTTTCCCACTCTAGCGAACCCTGTCAAAGAATAAGAAATCATATTTTGTTGAAGGATTGTTTGCACTTTTTGAATTCATACTTAATAAATCAACTATAGTTTTTTTTAAATTCCGTTGAAGCTTGAAACCATAAGATTGTGTACATCCAATTTATTTCAAAAATTGAAACAAACTATTTCAAAAGGTTTCAACGGCTCTGACATCAAACAAAATGAGACATCGAACAAATGACAAAAACGCGGCAGAAGAAAGGCTTAGAGTTACGATAGAAGATATGGTCAAGCATGTTCTTAAGAGAAAATTCAAGAACTTCCAAACGGATGTAAAAGCTTTGCAATTTTAACAGTTTCAACTCGGGATAGTTAGACGAGCTTTTCAGTGTGGTAACATATTTCGTCTGAAGTGATGAACAGTTGGATATGTTCTTAGTTCTCGCATTTTGCTCGGTTATGAGGATGTCTCGGAATACGCTCCACGACCTAGCCCAGAGACCGAAATGTTCCACTGAAGCGATTTTTAATAAGTTTTGAAAGTTTTCGAGCGTGTTTCTTTGGACCGGCAGTGGTTTCTCAATCCTCTTTACCGCCATAAGAGAAAATTCAAAATGAGACGTGCCGATAAAGAAAGAAGCCCATTTTTTATAGCAGGTATCGTCTGCGCCTCATTGTCGCGACAAGTGTTCACCGCATACCAATTTTGAAACTAAGTTTGCGCCTCATTGTCTCGACAAGTGTTTACCGCATATTTATTTTGAAACTAAGGCCTAAAAAACTTTGCGGCATCTTGAAAACTCTTAGAAAAAGTCTGAATTAAATCGTTTATTTGATTTAACTTGAGAGAGCAAATGACTTGGAATCGGGAACTAGATTTTTCTCCGTTTTAACAACTTCGCTTACAAATATGTAAGATGTTGGACTTGCTTTTTTATGGAACTTCACCAGTTTCCAGGCCCATTCCCAGTTGGTCTAGTTGTAAAGCGCATGCTTTTGGATACTAAATTATAGAATTAGAATACCAGCTGGACCTTGTTTTTTTTCGATTTGTACGAAACTCTGGGAAAATTTGAATGGCCAGGATATCGTTCGTCTGCTTATTATTTGTCTGCTTCATTTCCGAAGTATGGGCTTTTCTTCCGATATAAACAATTTTTACTATTCATCAAAGTCGTGTTTACTCTGGCCGTCTTGCGAGCGTTGATTTGTTAAGACGAACCTTCTTTTTCTAACCTAAATCTCAAATAAAAGTGTTCACTCATTTGGTGGCACTTTTGATATAATCACGATCTGTAGCATTCGAAATTCACAGCATTTGTTCTTTGCTTTATATGTGGCTAGTGTTTGTGATTTTTTAGGTGTCCGTGGTTAGTGCGTGAGACTCATAATCTCTAGGTCGCAGAGCGAATCCCTGACGTAGCCGAGTTTTTACTAATTTTAGGCTTATTTCTACTTTTTCTTATTGCAATTTATACAGATGCTTTTTGTCGTGTTCTCACTAGTGTTTGCGAAGCGCTGCTTCGGCTCTGTTGGTAATTTATGAATTTAAGCATTATGATTTTGATTCAGTTCTTTTTGATGTTTTTACACTTGCGGAAGCAAGTGTTTTGTATTAGGAAACTACACTTTTTCCCGTAAACAACTTGCTTCATTAGTGTTGTTTCATTAGTGAACCGTAGCAATTTTGAAACCTTTTCCCCACTTGGTAAAGACGTAACGCGGATGCGTATGTACCCTAATGTCGGGTCGGAGTACCGGTTAAACGTTGTTTTTTTCAGTATGTATGAAATTGAAAAAAAAAAATCCAGGTAAATTGCTTGAATTCCGTTTGTCAGCTTATGTTTTGTCGGCTTAGTTTCCACATCAAGAAATTTTCTTGGGCTGTCACCAATTTTCATCGTGTGCAAGTGTTTTTGGTTTACTTCTGTTATTTGTAAAATTATTTGTTCTGACGTGTATTTTCCTTGGTTTTCCTTTTTTTCGCCAAAAGCTATATTCGGCTCTTGAAAAGTTCAGGTTATTTTTGTTAAAAGAATTGAAAATTTTTAAAAGTAAATTGCTTAAATATTTTTAACGACAATTTCTTATGGCATTTTTTTATTTTCGGCTCAATGGGCGTCTACCCACTAATGGTTGGCTTAGGTGCGGCACGTTAATTACTTCAAATTTGTTTGATACTGTTGTCGACTACTTGTTTTCGACTGTTTTTCTAAAAAACTATTTCATCTTTTGTCAAAAAGGTTTTTTTTCCGATTTTGTAAATTTCGAAGCTCGGCGTCACCTCTGCGTGAATAATTGTCGTTGCTTATCGGGAAATTTTTTCCAGTTATTGTTCTGTTCTTTCATATCATGTACGCTGTAGATTTTTGGGCTTCGCTTTTCGTGAAAAAGCACGGGTAGTTTTGAAAGATGTAGCCTTTTTGTGAAGCTGCGCTTCGCCACTGTCGAATACATAATAAGGTCGAGCGGTTTCTCTTACTGTGTCCTTACTGACTTTGCAACTTTGAATATGATATTTTGAATGCTTCTTTGCCAATACAAATTGAAAAGCCAGAACTTTTTAATGTCCAGGTAGAAATGGAGAAGTAAATAAGCATCCCTTTAAGTTTCTCATGAGTATGTTGTTCTTAAACTATCGGTAGCAATGTCACAATTCAAAGGCAGGAGTCAATCATAATTTTTTGCTATGTAAAGATCTTTAAGCTGATGTAGTTTGGATTAGAACTATCTAAAAGGATATTTTCTTGGCTCTTTTTCAGTTATATTAGATGTTTAAGAGTAATGAACGCAGTGAGTACTGTTATATATGTCTTGGTGAATTTTTTTTCAGGAAAAAGTCTGCAATTTTACGCTCATTTTAGATTTTTTGCGGTTTGATTTCTGATTTTTTTTAACCCTTGCGATATGAAAGGGTATCGCAATCGGTTACTAGATTTTTTTTCCTGTAATTAACTTTAGGCACAGAATAAGCAAATGTGCAGGACTGATAACCATGAGACATGATCAATTTCTTGAAATTCAAATAAAACCCTTCAATTAGTTCGTAAATAAGTGCAGTCACTTTCAGGTGTTACTTTAAAAAAAATAGTTTTCTTGAAAAAATGTTCCAAGGATTTTCTGTCGGATCTCTGGTTTTTGGCCGTTTCCGTCGGTTCAATTCCCGTTTTTTTAAATTGAAATTTGTTTTGGTACTGTTTTTTTTTTGACTTTTTGTTAAGCATGGATTTTATTTTGATTTCGAAATTGATGTAGAAAATTTCTAACCTGTCATTTTACCTATCCTGATTTTTAATGAATTTGTTTTTTATATATTTTTGATCGATTGAATGGTTTCGGTTTGTTATTTTGTGCAATGAACTTATATTGCGTTGTTTCGCGGGCAAAATTTCCTCTACGACTACATCAGGTTTTATTAAACTTGCGAGAGCAAGTGTCTTGAAATCGAGAACAAGACTTTTTCCAGTAAACATCTTTTTGACACATTTTAATTTTTTCCCCATTTCGTTTTTTGATGAGCCTTCAAAACCTCCGGTTTCCTTCACACTTGGCCTAGATTTAACGCCGTCGCGTTTGTAATCTAAGGTCTGGAGTTCGACTCTCGTCTGGAACTTGTTTTTTTTAGCTATTCGGCTAAAGTTATGTCGGCATAGTTGCCACATCACATATCTTGTTTGTCCTGTGAACAACATTCATTGCAAATGCAAGTGTTGTTCCTTGTAGGTTCAGAGATTGTGTGCTCAAAGATTGTCGGCTTTGTTTCCTCCTCGTAAGTTTTGTTCCATTGCTTATTTACTACTCAAGTTTCTGCTATCCCCAAACTATTGCAATTTTATCAAAAAATTACCAATCATAAATTATTCTTGAAATTGAAAAAGTTTTCAGGGCATATAACTTTTTCTATAAAATTCGAAACTTAAAGTTTTTTTTGTTTCTTTGCGTTCATTTCTGTTTTCCAACTGTCAGTTGGGTATGATTTTTTTTACTGCAATTAGATTTTCTGAATGCTATATGAACTGATTTTTACTTTATCAATCATTCTAAAACATTACTTTGAAGAAGCCACCAAATTTTGAAGAGGCAAACAAATTTTTAAAGGTTAAAGCCGCAAGAATATTTTTAGACGACGACTTAATTATTTTTAATTTACGAGGTGTTGGAAACTTGAATAGACTCAATAAATGAAGTTAAAATATAGGACACCCACAGAGTGCATGATTATTGCACACTACCGTGTAAAACAGAAGACTAACTTTCAGAGTCCTCATCTTGAGGACTTACTCAAATGCGTGAACAGAGTTGGAGATCAAGTAAGTTCATTTGGTTGAGGAAAACCTACTGTGTTAATTAGTTGTCCGGTTCTATGGAGAAATTGAAATTCTAAAGAAGCTTCAGTGATGAAGAAATACGTACCCGTTGATTAATTCATTCGTTTGGATTGATCCAATTGACTGATTGAATTTGTCTTGACGTTGAAAGAAACTTTTAGCAACTACCTTGACCCTACGAGATTTTTCGTTAGTTGATCAAAGCGTTAAAGGAAGAACTTGTCCAAATCCAAATTTCACTTTCTCTGCGTGAGTGGACAGAACAATTACATCTCCAGGAACAACAGAAATTGTGATGCTATTTGTTAAATGTATACGCTATTGTAACCTTAATAGCTCCTCCGACTATACTTGACTGGTGATATTTATTTCATGCTTAATTTGAAGAGTATCCTTATGCCTGGGTCGTAGTTCCTGTGTGATACCTGTGTTTAATGTCAATTTGATTGTTTCAGGAATACGGAATCGACAAAGGTGACATTCCTGATCTGACATCGGTGAGCTTTTCACTTGAACGAAGTTTATATATTTTGTATTCAGTGCAGTGCGTGCATGGAATTTTGACAAACTTGTTTTCCTGGCTTATTTCAACTGTGATCGTGTGTTTGCCTTGGACTATATAACTCAGTATATTATACTGAAAAGCAAGCTAGAAAACCCATACAACGTGATTCAAGTACGACAAAAACTTTTGTGATCAAACTTTTTTTATGAAAAATTTTTTGTCGTGATTCAAGCAAGATAATCGTTATTATGATATAGGTATAATGAATTCTACTTCAAGGTTTGCAGTTTAAACCATATAATATACAACATATGCAATGCACCAAAATAGAGATCAAATGGCTTTTTGCTTCTCTTCGGAAGGCTGGACATTCCTTTCATTCGAAATTTAAAAAAAAAATTCTAATCTTGTTAGGCGCCGAGTAGTTTGCTGGATGCTCTGGAAAGCCACTACCAGGGCCTGGAAACTGATAAGAAAGGTGGAGGTGGTGGAAAAACGAAGGAGAGATCGAAGCCGATTGGTGTTCCGAAGCAGCTGAGTGTGAATGCGGACGCCTTCCGGGAAGTGAGTCAGAAGACAACTAGCAACAATCCGTTCTTCTTTGAAGAAGCGAACGAGGAGTTCGGAGGCGGGGCCAAGACTTCGATCAGTGAAGCGGACAGGCAGAAAGCACTGGAGGAAGAGAAGACAGAACTGAGCGTAAGAATAACATCCATTTTTACTACAATGAGTTGACAAATATGAGTTTTTTCATAAAAATAATATACTTGTGACAACGAAAACGAATCCAAGGCTAAGCACGCAATCATTACAATCAACTTAACGTTGTTTTGTTATTTTAAAACGCCTATAAAAGAGACGAAGAAACGCCTAATTAGTTTTGAGATTTTGGTACAGTTAAAATGCGAAATAGTTTTACGAAGGCAAATAGTTGATGTAACGTTTTTTTTGAGGTGTTTTGCAATTGTTTAATTTCAGAAATACAACAACCAAACCCAGAGTAGTTTCAATCCCTTCTCAACCGATGCGTCATCTCAGTCGGTTGCAGCAGCTAAAGCGCCAACTCCCACCGTCAACGACCCATTCGAAGACCTTCTGGGACTATCTTCGGGTGGCACTACGACGTCCGCCCAATCGACTCCATCCGCGGCCAATGACCCCTTCGGCTCATCGACACCTGCGAGTGGCAACACATTTGACCCCTTTGCAAGCTTCAATGCTACTTCTGCTACAGCGGCCCCACAGCCCAGTGCAAGTTCCAATCCATTCCTACAAAATGTTAGTCGACATCTGAAAATCCGTTGAATTAGGGTAATATGGGTGTGACGTTCCGCATTCCCGCTATTTGATTATTTGTTGGCAGTTTTTATTGTACAATGCACAATTCATTTAATAGAGGCAGATCATCAATATAGTGTTCAAGCTCGAAAATATAATTATTGTTATTGCATGCTAGTCGAATCGATTTTTTTGGTCAAGAAATACGAAAAATTGTTTGCATGGAATGGAAATTGTGTTTCAATGCCGCTATTCTTAGCACATCTTTTGCTGGCTGCAATCTAAAGCGCAGGGTTACCCTTTCTTTGAATTCTTAAAAGAACTATTTTATGTGATTTCTTAAAACTATTCCATTTGGAACAACTGTGCTTTCCAAGATTGTTACGTGGTGATGTGGGTACCGAGTGCACTATATGCAATATCTGATTTGTTTTGTCTGGATTGATAATATTCTGTGAATTTGTCAGGAAGCTAGTACAGGTAGACCTTACCTCGCTTATCCCGCCTCTCCTGCTCCTAAATTCAGTGCCAATGCCTATGCAAACAATCACGTGAACACAGTTCGCTTCCACGTGAACCACATGCCACAGCCTCAACCGAGGCTAGTCGGCCCCTCCCTTGCAAGTCCATATGTTTACTCAGTGAGTAACACAGTAAACAATTTATTAAAGAATAGTTCCAAGAGACTCTTGGTAACTTCTACGATTGAGCGTAATGACGAAAGTTCGTTTCCTTTCACCCCCTCCCACCCATTCAACAATTAAAGAAAAAAGAACGCTGTGTTTCTGGTTCTTATGTTAAAGTAAGTGGTAAGTTATAAAGTGCTCTTTGTAAAACCTAAGAATTTTTTCGTTCAAAATTGGGGAGGGAGGTTGGAGTGATTGTGGAGGATGAAAAAGCGCGGAAAGAACTATAACATTTATTCCACACCTCTTTCGAAACTAACTCTATTGTGTATTGGGATCTCTTTAACTATCCAGCTTTTGCAAAAGGGGCATATTCGTTATTAGGTACTAAATTCACATACGCTTAACTGTTGAATTAGTTCATTATGGGGAGGGCAATTCGTTTCTAGGTACAAAAGGGGGAGGATAGTTGAAGAGATTCGTGTTTTTAATGGAATTGATTGGATCCTTGACTCGATTCATTTGATGTTAAATTTGATTCTCCTGTGTTTTGTTGGGCCAGCTTATCTATTACTCTTTAAAGGTCTGGCTTTTCGTTGGTGCAACAACTTGACTGTTTGACTTTCTACTAAGTCTTTTTCCTGAAATTTTCAACTTTTTACTACTGTAATTTATTCGTATCGAAAACATTTTTTTAAATTGTTTTCGAGTTCGTAACTCAGCTTCCAATCAATACGCTGTACACATTCGTTCCGTTTGATTGTTACAATGGTAAAAAAGGATTCAATAATTTCAGCAAACAAGTTACGAATTATTATTAACGCTCATTGAGTAATATTTTGATAATTCATTTTATAGTATTCCTTAATTTTCTTCCATCATTCAAAATGAGCTTTGGCGCCAGAATAATGCCGGTGTAATTGCTGAGTTAAAAGTTCTGTGTGTTTGACTAAGTAATTATTTTCAATTTACATGCTTGGGTAAAAACGAGATGTGTGTTAATGTGAATGATCTGTTAATTGTTTGTTTCAGAGCACCTCTGCAGCAGTTGTGCCCCCCTCTGGAGGCAGTATGTTCGGAGGCACTGTCAGTGGCAGTATGTGGCAGACTAATGGTGAGTCATCGCATTATCTTTTGGTAAAATTGTCGTCGTCAATTGAGGTCAAGTTTTAAGATAGATTTAACGAGTATGAAAAAAAAGCCGAAAAAGAAAACTGTGTGCTTGTTCATACTTTTTCTGGTTATAACACCATTTAACAATATAGAGGGAACTTATGAAGTTGATATCAAGTCAAATTTGATCTGCGGTCTGGGTAATTAGATTGATTGGCATCTAGGATAATTTATATTTGATGTATAAACAGGCAGGGGCTGATCTAGGATTTCCTCAACGGGGGCAGGTTTTCCAAAATATTTCGATAATTTTGTCAACTTTTTAAGAAATTGATTTTCCGAGCGCTCCGAGAACTATAAAAACCTTATTTTGACAAAAGTTTCTGCGCCGCTTTTTGGCGCGAACTTCCCTTCATAACTAGTATACATTGGCGCATTTAGAAAAATTTTGGAGTTGATCGCTGAAAGTGGGTGTCACTATCCTTGCTAGGCAAGGGTATTGCAGTCGGGTACTTGACTTTTTAAAACGTAAATAATTTTCATCACAGGATGAGCGCAATTTTGGTCCACTACTTTAGTCAACGAACAGAAAGGTGGAGAACAGGCAATATTTGAACATGTATGCGTTTCAAATACCCGTTTTATTCGATTTTTTTTATGTGAGTCACAAATTAACCAACTCTGATTTCAGTACATCATTTTTCTCTTTTTTGTACTTTTTGAGAGGTATCAGGACCAAAAAATTTTTTATTTAAATGTTTTGAGGGGGGACTTAAAAAAAGTTTTGAGTTTTAAAGTTTTTCTATTAAGACAGTTTTTTCGGCGCAACTTGTCTGCTCAAGAATGGTCGGATATGTTACCGTTTTATTACGCTAGCGTTCAGCTTAGTGTACTGTTACCAACTTTTTTTCTGACCTAACTCGCAAATAAAAGTGTTCATTTAAAGTGTCCATTCATCATTTAAAATTCATCATTTAAAATTCATCCATTCATCATTTAAAATTCCATAGCATCTGTTCTCTTCTTTATTTGTGTCTTGTGTTTGGTACCTTTTAAGCTTCCGTGGCTGATTGGTTAGTATGTAATATTTAGCTCGCAGGTTTGAAACTCGGACCTAGCCAAATTTTTTGCTATTCGAGGCTACTTTTTCTTATTGCACTTTATAAAGCTGCTTCTTGTGTTCTCGCTAGTGTTTGCATAACGAAGCTTCGCATCTTTGTAAGTTTTTTGTCGATGCTTGTTTAACATTCAATTTTCGTTCTTCTTGGCATACTTTAATGAAAGGGATTTTTATTCAAGACAAATTTAGGAAAATTTGGTAGATCAAATTTTCGATATTTTTTCTACGGCTTTCATCTATATTTGTCGGTTAATATGTCCTGTTATGTATGAGTTTTTTGCATGTAGCACGATGTTTTGCTTTGTTTCTTTTCGTAAATTTTCTAAAGGTGCAGTTATTTAAGTTCGAAGATTTCGGATGTTTTTGCAAATTGTTGGATTTTTTTTGAGAATTTTGGATTGTTTGAGTTTTTTGTTCGGTTTGTTGGTTCATCTGCATTTCGTGAGAGTCATTGGTTTTTCTATCGCAAGTGGTGCAAAGCTCTAATTCGCCTGTGTTTTAAAAAATGCCAAAGAGTGACCCTTTGATTGGAGAGGGGGTCAAATCCCTGCCTGAGAGGATAATCCGCCCCTCAACATTGGTAAGGGGCGCGAATTTATCGAATTCTGTTCTATTATACAAGGCATGTTTCAGGTGCTAGAAATTGTACACCTTCGTTAAGAATATGCTAAAAATCAACAACAGATCTTCTCTTAAGTGTCATTGATCGTAGTATTAGTACTTGAATAGGTTGTTAAGTTTTTGCTTTTAGAGACAACGAATGAAGTGAATTTTTACTTTTTCTTACGTTTTCTTGTCAATTTTTTAGCAATTATTTTTGTGTAAAATCAAGTCAAGTGTTGCTCTCAACTTTCAAAAAATATAAACGGCGGGCATAATGAAGTATGGCTTTCAGTTTTGACAAAAGCAAATTGAAAAGTTACATTTTGATCTAATTTTACTCAAGCAAGGTTGCCAGCGCAATGTTATACTGTCAGTGAACTGTTTTCCTACCAAAGTGCAATGTGTTAGTTGCACAGCGTATGATCTATTGATATTCTTTGCTGATTGATGTCTAAGAAAACAAGGTGTCATGGTCCAGTCGTTAAGACAAGTGATTTTAGGTCTGTGTGCGAGTCCCGTACAAACAAGTTTTTCAAATTGAAAGTGGATTTCAGTTTTTTGTTTGTAACTTTTTTCTTACATTTAAGCGTCTTTATCTCAAATGAGAACAGTAAAAAATGTCAATCAAACTATATTCTTGAAATTCAAAAAGCTTTGCTTTCTATAAAACTAGAGTAATTCTTGGAGTCTTCTATGATGTTAGAAAACTTATGTCAGCCAATCAGAATTGAGTATTCAAAAAGGAGCCACTAAAGACAAGAAGCAAATAAATCGAGTCCATTGGAATTACAAATGAGCGATTGCAGAATCAGCAGATACATGATTTTTCAAATATTGTCTGATCCAACGGGAGTTAAACGAATATTTGCACTTTAAGGATACCGGTATAAGAACGATAGAAGTGCGAAACCAAAATTTATTATATATGCACGAATTGTACAGCAAAGCATTACCGTACTGCTATAATTTTTTCAGGAAAAGTTGTTTTGTTCAGGCTCAAATTTACTTTTTCGCGGCTTGACTTTTGATTCTTTGTAAGTTCAGTTCATTTCCTTGGTTAAAGGAAAGCAAACTCCACTATCGAACAGCAAAATAGTAAAAGTCGCCAAAAACGTGATCGAAATAAAAGTTTTACCTTCTCAAATTGGGTTAATGTTATCAAAAAAGTGTCAATTATAAATTTTTCAGAAATTCAAAGAGGTTTAAAGGTCATCTTTTTTTCCCTTGAAATTCGAAGAGTAGTTTCAAAAAATTAAATCCGTATTGTTTTTTTTATTACATTCATTGACTCTTTTCCAACTGTCTGTTGGCTATGTTCTGCTAATTTTGACCATTAAGCAAATAAGAACGTCTTTGATTCTGAAATTGAAAGTTTTCCATCATTTAGTCCGTCCATCATGAGAATACCCACGATTCTTTCTCATTACTAAAAACGTTCATTGCAGTAAGAAGCAGAATATTTGAGTATCAATCTATAAGGTTTTGGGCTCATTGTTTTGTTTTTCTACAAGAAAATTAAAATTGTGTAAATGAAGAAATAACGTGAATCTGAACTAGAAATGCAAATATCGCTCTATCACTTCATTCGTACTTGTTATTTCGATGGAAAGGACCAACATACGAGCTATTCCGTTCTAAAAGGAGAATTGATTTGACCATGATGAAAAAAAAACTGTTATTTTTCCAGGCTGGGTAACGTTGCCTCCTCGCCCTCAACGAAGAATTGATTTCACTATCACTTCTAAAAACTGTCTATTGGCTATTTTTCGTCCAAGTGAGAATTTATATTATAGTTGCCGGCCATTTTTCCAATATAAGTTGCATGAGAGATTTTTTCTTAACTGTTTTATGCAAAAATAGGAATATCGAAGCCTCTGATAATCAGTGCTTGGGCGCAGTTTTTGAATATGTGGGTTGGGTAATTGATATCGGAAGATGCCATATATTTTGATTTAACATGTTCAGTAGCATCTTCATATCAGAGGTTAAAATGTTTTAAGGCAAAATGCACTCTCCAATTGTGAAAGTTGAATTGGTGCGGAAAAACGTAATCTGTAGTTCGATGCAAAAAAAATGAGGCTGGAATAACTTAAATTTTCTTATAAATGGCAAATCATAAAGAAACATATAATATAACAAAGAATAGGCAAGAAAAATGGCTTCAACCAAATATGACTAGGCAGGGATTTGCTTTCCATGGCAACGAATAACTTTTAAAAGTCTGCTTGGAATTGACTTCATTAAATTTAACCTCATTTGCGCAGTCACTTCATCTTAGCATTCGATTATATATCTCCTCAACTCTTCGATATTTGTTGGTGATTTTTCTTCCACAGCATTTTTGAGAATGCTCCAAACCTTTTCAATGGGTGATAGGTCAGCTGAGTTTGGCGGCCATTGCAAAATTTGGACATGATTGTCCTCATTCTAGTTTTTAGTAAAATTTGACGTGTGTGGGCGAGCACCGTCTTGCTGCAAGATCCAGCCCTCTGGGAAAAGTGCGTCAGCGTACGGAAAAAATTCCCCCAGGATATGACAATATTTAGGCTCATGAATATTTCCTGGGCCATCGACTGTTTTAAGATAGAATCCTCGGACTGAAATTGCTCCCCACACCATCACTTTCGAAATTTGGGAGCTGAAATTGTCGGTTTGTTGCCATTTTTTGAACACTAGACTCCAGTTTGTTTCTGTGCATCTGGAATATGCTTTCATCGTTTATCCACACATCCTCGAAGCCATAATTTTTCCAATTTTCTGCAAAATTGATTTGTTTTTCCTCATAGATGGTGGTTATTCCCAGGGTTCTTCTTGGGATTTTCTTCAAAATGTTATTTTTTTTAATGTACGCTGAACCGTGGTTTTGTGTACATTTAAGTCTTAGCGCAATTTTCTAGGCAGAAATACACGGATTTCTTTAAGCTATTGAGGCAGTTTTTTTCAACAAATTACCTGCTATTTTTCAAGGTCTTTCACTTCCCTTTTTTCGATCAAGGGGTTTTCCTTCACGTATCTTTTTTAGTTTTTGGTAACAGGTGGACCTTGATATCTGCAAAGAATTGCACAAAAATTAATCGTCGTTTGTTGCTGTCATAGCTAATTCTTGAGGTCAATGTTAAAAAGTTGAGTTAGAACTAATGTGCAACAGTTTACCGCATCTAGCGTGAACAGATATTAAAATTATCCCGCCAATTTTTTTATCATATGCAAGCGAAGGAATAGTTGAACATTTCATGTAAAGCAATTGCTCCACCAAAATCAACGGGAAAGTAGCTAAAGGAATTTTTAAAATATAACTAAAGTCTCAAAATTTTTGCATCCAACAATGTTATATATTTAAATGCAGGCTTCAGTATCTCGTCATGTTTAAGCTTTTTCAACATATTATTTTTTCATGTTTAACGGAAGATTTTTTGCAGGCTTAAGCTATATCGTATATTGCAATGGTTAAGATTGTTTCCGTTCTGAATTTAAGTGCTTTCACTTAGTTTTAAATAAGCAACCCAATAGTGGGATGCTGTCAGAGCTGGCAATTATGAATGCTCAAGTCTGTTTGGTTCACGAGATATGACGATTTTTGTGATTTTCCAGAAAATTTTCAGTTAACTCAAATTAAAAAGTTGATCATAAAATTTGTAGTTCCTAACCCTGTAAATGGTTGCTGCCAGTGTATTCTCAGGGATTGTGATTCTTTTCTCCAAATATGTCTGCTCAATTCCTTGTAGTTTTCGAGATATGGCGTGTTTTATGATTTTTCGAAAAATTTTTCAGAAAACTTATAATTTAAAAACTTCACAAGATTTTAGATTCCCAACCATGTGGTTGCTTTCTGAGGATACTCTCAGGAGTTTTAATTTGCAAAACTTGCGTCCAACTGCGACTACTCAAATGCTCTTAGTTTCATGTTTCCATTTTTTATGTCTTTTGTTTCCATTTGTGTTATGTCTTTTGTTAAAAGTTTTCAAAGACCTTAGATATAAAAAAAATTTCGCATGTTCCCATCACTTTACTGAGGCTTTTTAGGGTACTCACAGTAGTTGAGAGTTTTGCCTTCAATTACGAATGCTGAATTATTTGTACTTTTCGAGATCTTAACGTTTTTTGTGATTTTTTCAAAAAATTTTCAGAAAAATGAGATTTAATTTTCTTTTCAAAATTTGAAATTCTTAACCCTGTAGTTGGTGGCTGTCAGAGTGCTCTTAGGGGTTGCGAAGCTTGCCTCCAAATAAGACTTCTCAAAATTTTGTAGGTTCGAGATATGAGTTGTTAAATTTTCGAAGCACCGGAGTGCGTTAAACGCTAGTTTTCTTAAATTTTCCTGCAGTGTAAAATTTTTTCTAATAATCAAGATTTCAGAAATTGGATTAATTTTATCAAAAAAGCTCCAGTTAGTAAAATTATCGGAAATAGCTTTAAATATCAAAGAGCTTTCAGGCCTTTTTTTGTTTGAACTTCAAAATTTGCAGTTTTTTCAAAAAAAAGCCAATTTTTTTGTTTTTTGCTTTCATGATTTTTTTCCAACTGTCTGTTGGCTATGTTCTTCCTTTTTTCACTTTTTGTTATATCGTTTCGTTTTTGTATTTGCAATCGGGTACTGAGATTTTTTCTTCAAAAATCTTTTCCAGTGGTTTCATACCTTCTGTAATCAGGTATTGCAACCGGGTTGTAGCTTTTTTTGCCTTGACTAAGTTTGTTCACAGAATAGTAGTAATGAATACGCCTAGGACGGCAAATGTCGTGGGGTCGAATTTGACTGATTGTTTTTTCTTTCACTCGGGAAATTTTCTGTTTCAGAAAATTGTCCGCTCTTTATTTGTCTGCTTATGTTTTCTCGGTTTAGCTGCCACTTCGGAAATTTTTTCTGTAAGAAATTTAAATTGAAGTCACTTTCAGTGTTTTGGTTTACGTCTGCTGCTTGTAAATTTACTAACCTTGACTTCGTATATTTTCTTTCTTTTTTTGTTTTTTTTTCGCTTTGAAAATGTATTCTGCCCAAATGGTTTCGGCCTATATTTTATTCGCTAATTGGTCTTACATTGCGTCGTTTTATAACCGAAGAAATTGTTTATTGTGCGTTGCGTGGGTGTTTTGAGGGGTGAGGGGACTCGAACATTTCAAAATAATTTTTGTCTTTTTTCGGCTGAAACGGTTTCTGCTCAGGTACTTCTAGTTTCGAAAGTGGAATTTAATTTTCAGATTTCCCAGCGAAATAAAAAAAAATTATCTATTGATCCAGTGTTCTCAAATTAAGTTTATTTTATCAAAAAAGAACTGAAATTCATAAGAAACTCTAAGAGCTTTAAGTGCATCTATTTTTTTCATTGAAATTTGAAAGTTGAGATTTTTCACAAAACAAGCCAGCAGTTTTTTTCTGTTCACTTACGTTCATTGCCTCTTTTTCAACTGTTGGTTTGGCTATATTTTTCATAACTAGCTTTATTAACTTTGATAAATCTGATTTTTTCGTTTTTTTGCGTTTTCGGTTTTTTGTTGCATCGCAATATGTGCGAAGCTCCCCTTCGCGTCTATGTGAACATCTTGTTTTGCAACATGAGGTTAATTTTCTTACGAACATCATAAAATGGAATTGTAAGATACTTATACAGGTCGTGATGTTTTTCAGCAAAAAGTCTAAAATTTAATCAACCGAAAATTTGATCTGACATTTTGATTTCTTTTCAGGTCTAATTGATTCATTTTTTACAAAGAGAGCAAATCACATTCATCGATTACGAAACCAGAAACGGCGCCAAAAATAGCGTAATCGACTTCTACTTTCGAACGAGAATTATAATTTTTAGATTTCACAGTGGAGAAACAGGTTTACATATTGATCCATTTTTTTCAAAATGCGTTAAAATATCAAAAAAGTATCAACTAAAGATTTTTCTTGATTTTCAAAGAGCTTAAAGTTAAATATTGTTTTCTTTGCAACTCAAAGTTTTAAAAAATATTCGTCTCTTATGCTATTTTATTTCCTTGACCTTTCTCGAACTGGCTGTTATGTTTTTTTTAGCTTTAGATAGTTCACGATTTTCTATATATTGTGTTACTTTTTAGCAAATAAAAAAAATGAAATGTTTGTTAATCGCTTTTTTCTTATTTTTTCAAGGCAAGTAATATTCTTTGTGGTTTTCTGAACAGAGGTTATTTTGATTGCAAAATTGCTGGAAGGTTATATATCAATGTTTAAAACTCTTCGAATAGAATCTGAACCATCTTTTTTTCCGACAATTATTAGCAGTTTGCTAATAGCAGTCCTTATATTCCTGAGAGATGCGTATTGATTTTAGGTCATTTAAAGAAAGTTCATAAGGTGTCAAGAATAGTGTCAATTTTAAGCCATAGTATTCGAGATTCGGACTTCAAAAAAAATTGTGTCAGAGAAAATTCTCTGTTTTTCAGGCTATTATTTTCGAGAAATAGACAAACATGTTTGCGCGATGAAATCCTATCTTATTTTATGATTTTAACGTCATTTTAGCTATGATTACCCCAGTTTTGCAGTTTTTTTAAATCTAGTTCATCTCCTTTCACTGCCTGAAAAATAACCGATAATTCACTAAAATGTTCCGGTTTCTGTAAATTGTTTATCGTAGTTTATTTTTTGTCGGAACATTCATAACAAACTACTGACTTTGTTTTAATTTTAAGAATAGTCTGTTTGCAATTACCTGCCCATTTTATGCAAAATATCAATCAGTTGAATTTCTGGACCGTCAATGTTCTATTAAAATCGGATATTGGTACTGTAAATATAATGACTTTGATATCCGTGCGCACCTAAAAAAAGGTCGAACAGGACGTCTTCGTCCCTCAAATCAGTTATGAACGAGCTCCAAAAAAAACAACAACAACATAAAAAAGGCTCTTGTTTTTCTTCGATGTGCTTGTGCTAGGAGAGCTTGTGTTATGTAAAAACGCAGTTTTTGGCCGAGTAAAGTCGCATATTTTAGTGCTAAGTTTCTGAACAGTTTAGTATCTATCTGGTGCCTTTAAACAGCATGAGCTATATCGGCCACATTGAAGCAAGTTCATTCCTACTTGTTCGGGTCATTAAGGAAGCAGGATGGGGCTGTAGATGTGGTTTAGGACAGTCATTTTGCTGCTGGAGATATACAATTATCTCCGAAATCCCGATTTCTCCAAATGAATTTTTCAAAGCCGATGTTCTTTCAAGGATTATCTTTTCATCTGAGTTTTTAAGTGTCAGTGAACAAACTGAACACACTTATTTCAGTTGTGTTTATTTATTTTCGTTTTTTTTTTCAAGAAAAAGTATTGGATCGCGATCAATCTTGGTTATTTCCGGCTTGACTTAGGCTTTCTGTTATAATTCAAACTGAAAAATGTTCGAAACGTGGTTAGTTCTCCTTCAGCTTATTGATTTCCCCCAAGGCTATGTTGTCTGTGTTGTTGTCCGATTTTCAAAGAAAGTGAGGAATATATAAGGCTGAAGTGTTTTTTCTTGTTAACCATTTAACTACCAAGAGCATTATCTGTAAAAAAAATTAGTTATGTCGTTATGGCGAGTATCGATATGCGCTGTTTTTGGTCATTAAACGCCATGGATGTGACTATGATTTACAGAAAAAGTTGATAAACCTATCGCATCTCCGATTGAGTTAAGCTTTCTTTACCTTAAAGCAAGTCCAGGGGTTAGATTTGGGTTTCCAGAGATCCGACAGAATTTAAAGATAACGAATATGAATTTGTGGCCGCCTTAGAAGGAACTTCAGACATGCCTGCAGCTGACAATGTCAAAGCGTCTTCCATTACTAACAATTTCGGCCCCAATTACTCGATCGACATCGAGAATGAGTTGGGAACTTTGGACTTCGGCAGTGCGAATATTAGCATGGAAGCGAAACATGATACAACATCGGTCGCCGTGAACAGTGACAGTGCACAGGATGAGAAAGGTGCATGAACGTGAACTGTGTTACGTTGTGCACGATGTAACTGTTGATAGATAGCGTAGAGATCTGATGAATGAGGTCTGAGACGATCGCAAGAAAACAGAAGCGTGACTAAAGATAGATTGCTTTCATGAAATGCATGTTTCAGAAAGTCATCAAAATCCATCTAGAACGTTTGATCTTGCTTTCTAGACCAATTTTCTTGAATTGCCGTTACATGACGCATACTGTTTAAATGTTTTTGTTTAAGAATTGTGCCTTCTGCGTGCACTGAGTTTAAAAAAGCGCTTTTGCTGAGCGTCTTCAGAATTGATTGTTATTTATCGGTGCCGTTTTGTTTATGACGTAAATGATATCGTGTATATTGTGTATATCGTAAATGATATCGAATAATCTAACGGAACATAGAGAAAAAATAATAGAAATTGTTGTCGTAGAACTGATGTTAATATGTAATAGTTATAGCTGGGTTAGTTTAGTTGGAATTTGCGCGCTTTGATTTTCGCTGTCAATACGGTTTATTGTTATGGGTTGCTAATTTAGATGAAACTATATGCAAAAAGGTAGTATTGCATTGGGCATGTCAGTCATTCCTGCGATAGCTTGTCAGCGATCGTTGAACTCCAGTTTATCCAGTCTAGAATTATATACTTTTGCTGTTTAGGTACATCCTATCAACCTGCCTATGCTCCTCCTGCTCAACAAACAGTCAACTTCGAAGCTGCTTTTGGAACTAACTCAACTTCATACGGTACGAAAAAATGTGCGTTTAAGAGTTGTTATTCGAGCGAGAAAAAAATGTACTCTGCACTACTTAATTGTCGGCACATCCGCAACACAGGGTTGCAAAAAAATATGATTCTGACTAAAAAAAAAACGTTTTAAACACGTTTAAAACAAAAAAAGCATTCGTAATTAACAAAAATTAGCTGCTCAGCACACGTTTTATGAAAGTTAGTTTTTCCATGCCAAGACGGTTTCGAAGGTCGTCTTGGATATAGCCCTTTGTCGAAAACCTTTGTCGTTCACAATTTGCGCATTTTCACAGAAAAATTCGGAAATATGGTTTTTGTCACTCGCGTCTTTGATAGAAACAATATAAGTTTTCTGATAGTCTTGGATACAGAAACCCAATATAGACTCATTGTTGACATTCGTCCAACAGGCGACTGATAAAGAAACGAGTTGACCCGTTAGCCTTTCTGCAGTGGTTTTCCGAAAATCGGAGTTGACAGAATTGAGTAAATTACCATCAATGTGTGCTCTATTTGGAGGAGGATAACCGGGATGTAAAGCTTTGATCATGTCTTGGAGTTCTTCGTTTTCAACGTCTCTAAATGGTGTGTTCGAAGAATAGAAGTAACGAGCAATAGATAAATCGAGCTTCCTTTTCTGCTCAGGTGTTGTTTTGGTAAAAAGTGGGTCCACGGTGCTTTGTTTCCGTTGCTTGGAACTGATAGGGTGCATTGCCACGAGGTGCCAGAGCGTGTTCATCGTTAAAATGCTTCTTCATTCTTGCAACCAACCCAGCCATTTCTTTGTAACAATGATTGCATTTTGCACGGCCATCGGGTGATTGAGTAAACTCGCTCCAAATTGCATCTCTTTTACGACCAGTAGCCATATTTGCACGTATCATCATTAGCTTTGATCTTAAATGCGAAGCCAATTACATTAACTCAATTGTATGGCGCGCTCAAAGCGTTGAAATATTGACCAATCATGAGTCGTTGTTTAAAACGCTGAAATTCGCGTTGTTTTAAACGTGTTTTAAACAAGCTCTGTTTTAAACTTTGCAACCCTGCCGCAACAGAAATCTACTTCTCCATAGATAACCCCCGCCCCCAGAAAATCAGAATATTGACCCCTCCATTTTGGGGGTGTTCTGAATGAATCCCACCGGAATTTTTGTACCATAAGATTTAAATCCCCAACTTAAGAAAAATATGTCTTTTTAAGAGCTCCAAATCAAAAATACTGTTTTTTTTCACGCAAAAAATGGGTCCCCTTTAAGTAAATTATATTTTATGCCAATTTATAAGTGTTTGAACACGGTTTAAGAACTTGCAGTTTCTTGAGTTGTTTTTCTGGCCTGAAATTTTTTGCATCATCTTCAGCTGACGAGCACAGATCATGATGTTCTTCTAACCACCGCCCCTTTTGAGGTTAAGGCTGCTGTGTGTTCAACTTCGTGATAAACTTCGTCTAAATGGCGAAGTGGAGTGTGGTAATAGAATATTTTGATTTAGTGTTAAATCTAATTCAAAATTCTGAAAAAACTGACTGATATCAATGGAAACGGGTTGATTCTGTTCATAAATTTTTACGTGGAGATAAACGGTTCAGAATACTTTACGTTGCTTAGACTTTTGACTCTGACTGAATTATCTGAATAGTAAATGACCTGTTTTTTGCGACGGTGTGTTTGTAATAGTCGATGAACGTAGTTCAGACTCTTGTATAGGTCGCGATGATTTTTTTTTCGTTTTTTTTTGCGGAAAAGTTCGGCTCAAGTTTATTTTTTTTGCGGTTTGATTTTTGGTTGTTTGAAGTTCATTTCCTTTATGAAAAGGAAGGCAAACTCCACTATCGAACAGCAAAATTGTAAAGGTCACAAAACCGTGTTCGACTTCTAGTTTCGAAAGTGGAATTTAATTTTCAGAATTCCCAGTGGAATGAAAATTATACTTATTAAACCAGTTTTCTCAAATTGGGTTAAATTTATTTAAGAAGTGCTAATCATAAAGTTCGAGTAGCTTTAATGCAATCTTTTTTTCTTGGAAATTCGAAAGTTGAGATTTTTTAGATAAACACGTCAGTATTCTTTTTCTGTTTACTTGTTCATTGAATTTTTTCAAACTGTCTGTTGGCTATGTTTTTTTTCAATAAGAATCCAACAGTTTGTTCAGGCGCAAATTTGATATTTTTACGTGGTTTGACGTTTTGATTTCAGTTCAATATTTTTGTTAAAATGATAGTGTGATCGACTTCTTATTTCGAACATGGAATTTAATTCTCAGATTTATTGGCTCGATAAAGCGATTCCGAACTGTTAAAAACATAAATTTTCCTAAATCTATCATTCCATAAGATATACCAAAAAAAAATCATTTTCCTTTTCAAGTGTCAATGAATTATTGGAAACTTGAAAAGGAAGTGAAGTTTCAAGTGTCAATGAACCATGTGAAATTGAAAAGAATGAAAGCACCATCAAGCCCAAATTGAACTCTTATTTGGGTTCTGATTTTTTCTGGAATAAATCCTAGAATTTGATCACGTCAAATTCGATCTTTTGCTTTTTGACTTTTCATTTGTCTATATAGTGTGATACTACAAGGCCATTTTTTCCAACCTAAGTCGCAAAGATAGGTGCTTTTTTTTGGAAGACCGACTACTCCCCTGTGTGCCGCATATTCTGCTGATCTCTTTTTAGTGTACTTGACAGCGTTCGAAACTCAGAAGGGGGCATTTTTGACTCATTTTTTGCTTTTTATTTTTCGAATTGCCCTACCATATCTGAGAGCAAGATTTCTACCAGCAATGTTGAGGGTATCTGGGCTTAAGCTGCTTCTCAATTTTGATGGAGAATCAAGTATGGACTTCGTAAGTTTCCATTTTTTAACACCTTGTTATCTTTTTGAAAAGTAATGAAAGTAGTGAGTACTCTTATATAGGTCTTGATGATATTTTTGTTGTTTTCAGGAAAAAGTCAGAAAATTTGTTCACGCTTAATTTTGATGTTTCGCGGTTTGACATTTGATTTCTATAAGTTTCATTTATTAAAAGTAAACTTCATTTACTTTATTAAAGGGAAAGTAAACTCCACTATCGAACATTAAAAATAAAAAGGTCACCAAAACGTGGTCGACTTCATTTTCGAAAATGGAATTCACTTATCCGATCTCTCAGCGAAAATTTTATATATTGATTCAATGTTTTTTAAAAGGCGATGGGTTATTTTTATCAGAAAAGCACTTATCATAATTTGTTCGTGAAACTCCAAGAGCTTTAAGGTTATATAAATTTTTCTTTAAATTTCGAAAGTGTCAAAAATTTTTTAAAAAATAAGTCAGTTTTTTGTTCCTTTTTGTTCATTACTTTCCCAAGTGTCAGTTGGCTAAATTGAAAATTATGCCTTACCTTCTGCATTTTAATATTTGCTGGTAGGTCAGTAAATAGATAATTGAAGTTTTTATTTACGTTATCTCATCAAGACAGCCTTATACAATGCGCCAAACTTTGATACAAAAAATGAAAAGAAAACTGCCATGAAACTTAGTTTAAAATTTTTTGTTCTAGCTCAGGAAAAAATTGATTCTATGAGTTTTGGATTCCAAATTGATTCATTATTACGTCATTCTGTTAACTGGTCTGGCAATTTTTTAACACTTGCATTTAATGAACGCGAGCCAAACATTTTCTTAAAATAAATCAAAGACCTTGTAATACTTCAACACGATTTAGATTTTCTCCGAAATTTGAACGTTAACAAAGGTTTATCTTTTTTCGGTTTTCCTGAGTTCGTTGGCGCTTTTCGAACTGTCTGTCGGCTGTGTGCATTTTTTCTGTTTTGATATCACGTTTGCCGTTTTTTGCGTTTGTTTGCGAAAAACAAAATCGCATCAGTGTAAAAGCATACATTTGAAGTCAAATTTCACGTATTTAAGTATCGACTTTACGCTTTTGGATAAAGTTCATTTGGCGCAAAAGTTGCGCTTGACCACAAAAGTTGCGCTTGACTGAGAGATTCAAAATTAGATTTTACTTTTAGACTCAGCGGTGCACAAGTAAACGCTGTGATTATTAAGTTCAACTTTTCACCTAACTCGCATAAATTTGCTTCGGCGTTAATTCTGTGCTCCAATTTTTTTGGCGAGCGATTTAGTATCAAATGGCTTATTAAATGGATTATGCTGGCATTAATTCAATCTCAAGAAAAGTGAAATAATTATTAGATAGTAGCAAAGGCTTTTTTGATGGAAGTTCTTATGAAACCTTAGTTTTTTAATTGATGCTTAACTGTGTTGAGCATAGTCATTTGAATAGTTCAGTCAACGTTTTGAACGTTAATGAGAAGTAAAAGAAGGTTTCTTTATATCAGTTAAAATTATCTTTTTTTTCTAAGGGAGTTCGAATGTGTTTGGAGACATGCTACAGCCGACGCCCATAGGAGGACAGCAATCACACCCACAACAGCAGAATATGTTAGGAGGTAGAGCTAGTCCAATGGGCATGGGTGGATCACCCGCCCTCTCACCCATGGGAACTCAAAAGGCAATGGGGACAGCCCAGAGTAAACACACTGATCCCGGACTAGGCAAGGATCTGGACTCGGCTTTGGCCAATTTAGCTACTAGCCTCAACACAAAGTTTGTGAATTTAACGTTTGATTATATTAATTAACGAACTTACCTGTTTTCGCGTGAGTAGTTCGACGTTCAAGTAATTTCTCAGATCAACAAATCCAATTTCGTAGAAATTAGCGAGGGATTATGTTAAAATTACAGGGTGTTTCGTAAAACCCGATTTTCTTGAATATGTTTTCAATGGATAGATAATTGAATTCATTTTTCAAATTTTAAAATAAATAAAATTTTATCTTCAGCAGCTGCTGCAAATGCCGACGATTTACAGCGCGACATTTTTCCATTAGTTTACGACGTTTCGAGTTTCCCACAAAACTTCGGCGATGGTCTGTAATGTCGTCTGGAATATTGTAAAGTACTAAAAACAGCCTACTAGCGCATGCGATTGGTGATAGTTTTGGTGATAAAGAGCAATTTTGTTCAATCTAGCAAGAATATGTAAAAATGAGAAACAAATGAGACAAAATAATACCAAAAATAATGATCAATTTGTAGTAAAATTAAATCGATGAGGTCAGCTTTTCAACAAATTTGGTCTAATTTAGTCTGAAAGTCGATAATTATCAGACCATTTTTTCTCACCCTTAGAATTTTTTTTACCCTTGCGATAAGTAAGGGTATTGCAATCGGGTACTAGACTTTTTTCCCGTAAATAAATTTGGTCACGCACGTAAAAATGTTACACGTGTTTCAACTTGCTTCATAGTAACTTAAATTAATTAACCTTGTAACTGTTACCACGCTGATTCCAAATTTTTTGGTACATTTTCGGCTTTGATATCGGTCGTCTTCAATTCTGTCAGTTTATATTCCTAATGTTTTTTTTTCGAATAACTTTCTTTGGTATTATATGGGAGTGATTCATTTTTGGAATACTTTTCAGAATTTTTTTGACTTAAAATTTTTTTCTCATTTCAAGTAACAAAGTTGGTTCAAAGATTTGTTGTTTTTGTTTGTACAATGGATTGTACTTATAGCATTCTTTTTAGTGCAGATAAAATAGCTCATTATTTTTTGCACATTTTTGTTCAGTTTTTCTTTGAGTTTTTCAATATTTGATTTTTGAATTTTTTTTCTCTTTGTTTCGAACCTATTATTTTTTCCGTTTAGCCGTTTCATTTAGAAAATAAAGACCAGGCAAGCCTGAAGTCCTATCAAATCAGAATTGTACAACTCAAAAGTTTCGGTAATTTTGTTCAAAATCGCTAGACGATTCTGTTGTTATACTGTCAAATCCAGTTGTGTCTGCTAATTTTTCTGATACACTTGTATTATTTCTTATTTTTACGTAGTTTCAATGCATTAAAACAGTATTGAAATAACTTTTTTAATTCCTTTTGGCGTTTTTTGTTGTCATGTTCTTTCTATTTTTTTTTCACTTTCTATTTATTTTTTTCACATCCAGTTAATATTGATAAGTTATCGGACTCAATCTTTTTTTAAAAAAAAAATCGTTCAATGACGCGCATTTCTGATTTTTTATATCAATAGTAGTTCAATTTCATTGTTTTGTTTGCTCTAAGCCAGCGTCTTTTTCTTTGTTGCTTTTTTTTTATTCAATTGTTTTATAGCAATTTTTTGTTTGAACTAGAAGAATAAAAGATTTTGAATTGATTTGATGTTTTTAGATTTTTTTGAGTTTTTTAGGTGATTTGTGTTGTTTGTTCAGTCTTATTTGGTTCGGTGCTTGCGTCTTATCTGATAAAATGTCTGAATTAGTTTTTTCAGCAATAGTTTAATCGCGTGTCTTCTGCTTAGCAGGCAGGTATTAAACGTCAGTTGGAGTCAAACTGATATTTTTCCTATCTGACACATTTCCTATTTTTCCTATTTTTTGACACATTTTTTAATCGCAAGTTGTGCGAAGCTCTGCTTCGCCTTTGTGTAAAACTTTCATTTTAGAATCCAAATCTCGGCCAAAAGGGCTTTAATATGATACCAATTTACCCCCTACGAGCTTTCCTTGAGGTAGTCAAAATTAGCTGGAAGAAAATTGACTCGAATCTTAATTTCCTTTCCAACCTTCGAGTGATCGGAACAATCAGTAGCTTTTTAAAGGAAACTTAACAACAATTTTTGTGTACCAGTTAGCATTCCTAATATACAAAAGATTTGGGCATGCTAACTATTTGAAAGTTAATGCATAAGTTTGTAAGTGTGCAATGTTGTGCTTTGGGCTAAAAAAAAGTTGACAAAATTATTTTTTGAGATGATGGAGGACTCATTGTTTAACTTCTCATTATTTAGGCAATGTGTCTAGTCTTTGAGCTGAGAGATTTTTAGTTGGTTTTGGTTCTACTGCTCTTTTGGTATTAGTGTTTTAGTTTTGAGTTCTTAACTGTTTTCGAATCTGTTAAGTGCTGGTGTTTTAGGTCTCCTAGCCATCGACCTTCACAGCCCCAGCAGACAGCTTGGTGATGGTGCCAGAGTGACTCACCACCAAAATGATCCTAACAGTATGAAGAGAATGGCATGAAGTATTCCTGTATGACACCACCCAGTAACTTGCTACTGAACAATCTATCAAACGCAATACCCAGTTATCTCTCAGTAGACTTCTTAGAAATCAGATGGACCAGTGGCGTTGTAACTCCTATGCTGGCCAGGTCAAGAGTTAATTGCGATCTTTTCGGTTAATACCCAGCCATTACAACTTTTTTGTGGCTTTTTGTACTCTATGGTACTTTTTTCAGTACTTTAATTGTGGTGAATGTTTTTATACGTGTCTCGAGCATAATTAGCTCAGATTTTGGAGATACAAATTAGTTAAAGATAAGAGCAAAGGGTTTTTCACTGAAAAGATTTGTTTTGTGAATATTGAAACTGCAAGAATTTACCGTGTACCCATTATTGCAATTCATTAGTGTATCCAGTTTATAGCTGTCGTGCACATGCGTCTGCGTATACATAAATAGTGCTAAACTGTTCAAAATTGAAAAATTTATATTTAAATCTGTCAAATGTGAAAGGCTTACTTGTTTCTGGGTTTTCAAACAGTATCAGGGTATTTTTTCCGATAACCTGAATCATCAGAAATTATAGTTTGTCCAATCTCCTAATATTTGCTTGCCTTATTTTCCAACTAGCGTGATTTTTGGCCTAAGGGAGGGTTTTTATGTTCTGTAATTTTGATTGAAAGCACACAAGGGGAACATGTATGCTAATCACGCAGTAGATACAGCGTAGTTTGATTTGGATTGAGATGTATTTAAGTTGCATTGATCGAATTTGTAAATGAAATAGAAATAATAATATTATGTTAGTGAATTTTAGTGTCGCTTAGCATCTATTCGACCGCATATGTCGCAATCAATCTATAATTAAATTTTTAGATAAACTCATTTTTTACGTACTGAATAAAATACAATGCAGAGGTTAACTGCTTCGTGGTAACGATTTTTCTTCTGCGTCAAATATTTCAACAAAAAGTAAAGGTTCGAATCCTCGTGAGGTCATAAATTTACCAATCAAATATTGCTCAATGACTCACTATGCGTATATTTTATTACCTGGAGAATAGTTAAACTGGAGGAATCTGTCATAGAAAACTTTTCATAATATCAAAGTTGATAGGATTTTTTAGGACGGCTCAATTCAGTTTCCTAGGTCCTAAACTGAAAAAAAACAATATACAGCGCGTAAGTTTCTAAAAACATGTTCGATTTTAATAAACTCAAAAAAATAGCACTTTTTTAAATTTAAGTCGTATTTTCTATTAGTGTCATTACACAAGCATAGCATAAGGATCAAATATTAGTGTTCATTTTAATCAATAACCAGTTATTAAGTACAGCCAATGCTAAGTATATTAACACATAATATTATTTTACAAATAGCACTTCAGCTTCATGTATGGATCTGTAGCGTAGAGGTAGGGAAGAAGACCCGCAACAAATTAAGAGGGTTCGAACCTGGGCAGGGTCGGATGTTTTTAATGAACTTTTTCGTATAGCAGTCAAAATGCGTCCGCTTTATGAATTGAGACATATTAGTTGGTAAATTTTTTTTTTCAAATTGACGGCTAATGCGTCATAATTGGCTCGCGTCACTTAGCATTTATGTAGACTCATACTTGGCGTGCGCCACTTGAAAAACTTTGTAGACTCAAAGTTTTACGCATTCAGTTTTCTCAGTAGTGTTATCGGTCATATTTTTGCTTAGGTATGCGAAGTGCAACTTCGCCTCTGTGGCAAAATATTCCAATCAAAATTTAATTTTTCGGTTCTGATTTGGCATCAAATTGCAAATGGAAGTCAAATTGCTCTCTACAATAACAAAAAAATGACACAACAAAGATTGAGTTTACTTTCGAGTTGCTGAAGTTTTCAGATTTCTAGCGGAATACTATCCTATTAATCCACTTGCGTCAAATTGTATTTTCAAGAAAAAAAAATTATTCGGCTATCAGAAAAACTGAACAAACTTCTCACTACGCTAAGAAAAAAAAGCTAATAAACACGTTGAATTTTGATTCAGGTGCATTTTAACTTTTCGATTTTCCACGGAATATTAATATCCTAATAACCTAGTTTTTTAAAACTGAAAATTTTGGGAAACATTTAAAAAGTTAGTTCAAAAATTAAAAGTTTAAAAAATTTTTCTTTGAAACTTCTGGCTGAATGATTTTTGGCGAATTATGGCGATATAGCAAGATCAATTTTTTAAATAATATACAGTTTTTTAGAAGTAATATAATAATCCAACTAGTCATTGGCATTGTTTAGAATATAGTGAATTATTTTACGGTACGGTTTGATTGGGTTTTGATGCATTGATTCTTTGAAAAAAAAACAGCTTTGAGTTTAGATTTTACTGGTTTGTGGCAATTGTTTTTATATTACTCGTGTTAGCCTGTATAGGTTATTTTTCAAACGCCAAACGTTATTAAGAATCGATGTGCATACCTCAGGTTTATAAAGACTGCGATAATTTTTTTGTTTTCTTTTAGGAAAAGCCCTAAATTTGTTCGGGCTCAAATTTGCTTTTTCGCGGTTTCACTTCTGATTTCTATTTCAGCTCAGCTTTTTCTTTCGTTAAAGGGAAAGAAAACTCCACTATCGAACAGCGAAGATGTAATAGTCACGAAAAACGTGATCAATTTCTAGTTTCGAAAATGGAATTCATTACCAATTTTCCAAGCGAAATGAAAATTTTATCTATAGATCCACTTTTCTCAAAATTGGTTAATTTTATTACTCTTGCGATTAGCAATCGTTATCAAATCGAAACCAAGATTTTTTCGGGTTATTAACTAGCTTAACAAAATCAGGTGAATCAATTGCTGCTATCCTGCTGACAAGCTAGATGTCATGAAAATTCAAGTTTAACACTGGGTGAAATGTTTGTTACTTTTTCTGAAATGAATGGTTTTTTTTCGGCTTCATGGATTTTGTCCCAACTTTCGTCGGCGTACTTGCCGGATGTATATATTTTTAATATATATTTTTAAATGACTTGCTTGCTTTTTCGGAAAAAGTTTGACTTTTCTCGAAAACTACAGTGTCAATTTTTAGGTTAACTGGTCAATCGAGAAAATTAGTTTTGGAAATTTTCTCTGCTAACGCGGCAACGACCTTCTTTTTGCAGAGAAAAGTTATTGATTTACGAAAGTCAAGTTTTTGAAGAGATTTTAGGAGATTTTTGACATGTCTTATGAACTAGTGTGTCAATTCTGAGATGCAGGTTCAATTGAATGAACTGCTTGAGAGAATTTTTCCTGTAGAAGCGGTGTTTCTTTAATTTTTGTTAGCAAAGTTTTTTGTGTATGTATTTCTCATAATTTTTCACCCTTCATTTGGTGAAGTACATTTTTGAAAAATACCTATTTCATCTCACATCACTATAAAGAATTAATCAAAACAGCTACATCCAAAAGTCCCCAAGAGTTTTTTTAGTCAGTTACGAAAACCTTCATTCTTGTTTTTCAACGCTTTTCATTTTTTCTATTTCTTATTCTAATTTTTATTTTTGTGTTGTATCGCAAGTGGTGCAAAGCTCCGTTTTGCCTCTGTTTCAAAGAAAGTGTCAAACATAAACTGTTCTGTAGATTAAAAGAGCCTTAAGGTCATCAATTCTTCTTTGGAATTAGAAGGTTGAGTTTTTCAAAAAGAATAAATCCGTATTTCTTTTCTGTTTACTTGTGTGCCTTGACTCTTTTCCAACAATTTGTGCTATGTTATTAAATTGATTTACAAAAATTTTCTAACTATTTGACATTTTTTCCGAAAGTAAAATTTTATCCTTATGAAATTTTGTACTGAAATTCATTAATAGGAATTCTCAACACTTTTTGTCAATCTAAGTCGCAACTATCAAGCATTTTTGGTGGCACTCTTTGAACAAGCTGCGCTGGCTGTTTAATAGCTTGTGCTTTAACATTCGATTTGTTAATTAGTCAGCACCATTGATGCGTTTCATTCATTAAATAAACCCAAAAAACGCTGTATGTTTTGTGCACCAGTGCAATAAACTAAACTGAACGTGTTTTAAAGTTTACATATCAATATATTTTGCGAAGTTTTTATAAGGCATATTTTATACACAATTTGGCTTTATAGTTTCCAAATTCTTGCTAACAAAATTAGTGTTGTTAACATTTATGAAATATTTGCTGGCATTTTTAATGATGGCTGAAAATAGCCAATCAGATCAAAACATCAGTTCGAAATTTTTTTTTCAAAAGCTTTTAGCAGACCCATAAATCAGGCAAATTGTCCAAAAATGTAAAATGTTCTTGTGAAGGATTCAAATTACACTAGACTCAAACTACTTGTTGAGTCTAGATCGGGCTGGAAAAAAAAGAAATAGTTTCAAGACAAAAAAAAACTTTCTGACCAATCTCACGTTTACTCGAAGAGACATAAGTCAGCACATAGACGTATTCGACCGCATATGTCGCAATCAATCTATAATTAAATTTTTAGATAAACTCATTTTTTACGTACTGAATAAAATACAATGCAGAGGTTAACTGCTTCGTGGTAACGATTTTTCTTCTGCGTCAAACATTTCAACAAAAAGTAAAGGTTCGAATCCTCGTGAGGTCATAAATTTACCAATCAAATATTGCTCAATGACTCACTATGCGTATATTTTATTACCTGGAGAATAGTTAAACTGGAGGAATCTGTCATAGAAAACTTTTCATAATATCAAAGTTGATAGGATTTTTTAGGACGGCTCAATTCAGTTTCCTAGGTCCTAAACTGAAAAAAAACAATATACAGCGCGTAAGTTTCTAAAAACATGTTCGATTTTAATAAACTCAAAAAAATAGCACTTTTTTAAATTTAAGTCGTATTTTCTATTGGTTTCATTACACAAGCATAGCATAAGGATCAAATATTAGTGTTCATTTTAATCAATAATCAGTTATTAAGTACAGCCAATGCTAAGTATATTAACACATAATATTATTTTACAAATAGCACTTCAGCTTCATGTATGGATCTGTAGCGTAGAGAGCGTAGAGGTAGGGAAGAAGACCCGCAACAAATTAAGAGGGTTCGAACCTGGGCAGGGTCGGATGTTTTTAATGAACTTTTTCGTATAGCAGTCAAAATGCGTCCGCTTTATGAATTGAGACATGTTAGTTGGTAAATTTCTTTTTTTTTTCAAATTGACGGCTAATGCGTCATAATTGGCTCGCGTCACTTAGCATTTATGTAGACTCATACTTGGCGTGCGCCACTTGAAAAACTTTGTAGACTCAAAGTTTTACTCATTCAGTTTTCTCAGTAGTGTTATCGGTCATTTTTTTGCTTAGGTATGCGAAGTGCAACTTCGCCTCTGTGGCAAAATATTCCAATCAAAATATGATTTTTCGGTTCTGATTTGGCATCAAATTGCAAATGGAAGTCAAATTGCTCTCTACAATAACAAAAAAATGACACAACAAAGATTGAGTTTACTTTCGAGTTGCTTAAGTTTTCAGATTTCTAGCGGAATAATATCCTATTAATCCACTTGCGTCAAATTGTATTTTCAAGAAAAAGAAATTATTCGGCTATCAGAAAAACTTAACAAACTTCTCACTACGCTAAGAAAAAAAAAGCTAATAAACACGTTGAATTTTGATTCAGGTGCATTTTAACTTTTCGATTTTCCACGGAATATTAATATTCTAATAACCTAGTTTTTTAAAACTGAAAATTTTGGGAAACATTTAAAAAGTTTTAAAAATTAAAAGTTTAAAAAATTTTTCTTTGAAACTTCTGGCTGAATGATTTTTTGCGAATTATGGCGATATAGCAAGATCAATTTTTTAAATAATATACAGTTTTTTAGAAGTAATATAATAATCCAACTAGTCATTGGCATTGTTTAGAATATAGTGAATTAT